TCTTGCTTTTTTTTTGCATTCTGCGAGACCGCTCGATAGACCTTCCAGTCGAAGCAAAAATCGCAGGATCAAACGGGGTCGCCATTCATTGCTCGAGGAAGGTGAGGAAAGTCGAGGAAAGCCGAGGAAATCGGAGGAACGGCACGGCTCATCGATCCGGACTTTCCCGTTTGAGTAACAGGTGTCGACGCGGTGCTTTTACTTGAAAAATGTATTAATGCCACGCGGGACGGGAAATGGCAAGGGTTAGGATTGAAGGCGAGGGCAGGCCGATTGAAGGCGAGGGTAGGCCGATTGAAGGCGAGGGCGAGCCGATTGAAGGCAAGGGCGGGTCGTGACGGATGGATGTTTGAAACTCGGCAAACAAAAGACGCCGTTCGGCAGAACGGGCTCCGAGACGGAGTCGTGGCAGGTACTCGATTTCCTTGGAGCGTATCAATGCCGTTGTTTCTTATGAATGCGTAATCGAGGGTCCGAATCGATCCCCGAGGCCATCTGCTGCTGGAAAACGCGGGCGAGAAAATCTGGGTCGGTGGGGAACGAACAGGGGAACGAACAGGGGAACGAACGGGGGAACGAACGGGGGAACGAACAGGGAATGAACCCCGATCGGATGGAGGGGGATTCGGTTTGGTTCTCTCGTTAGCGTTGACGATCCTCATTAGTCCTTGGGACTTGCGACATTCGATCGCGTTTGGTCCCCCGAGGGATGAATCCGATGGCCTTCTTGTGTATCTGTCTTTGTGTTTGTGTCTGTCTGTGTGTGTGTGTGTGTGTGAGAGGACATTTCCCCTTCGCCATGCTCGCAATTTGGCACGTTTTTCCATCGTTGCGTTTCCCCTCCCCTCGCTCTCTCTCGCTTACATCCGGCCGTTTATGACATATCCCTGGCCATTTCTTCGCAGTCGCCCTCACCTGGGACGGAACCGCCCGGCCGCGTCATTGTGAACGGGTGGAACGTCGTTTTGCACTCCATTGGCTCCCGTCGACATCGACGGACATTGCAAAAAAAAAAAAAAAAGGCGTTTGTGATCCTGTTTCGCCTTCGGCTGCTTTGTGTGGGATCCGCGCTCCGAGGGTATTCCCTCCGAGAGAATGGGGAAAGAGATGCATTCACGGGAAGGAGATTGGTGCATTCATGCAGTCGCATTATAGCACGATCATCATTAGCCCCTTAAGGTTCCGCGATCACTTTTTTTTTTCCTTTTTTCTCCTCGCAATATCCAAGGGGGGGCTGCAGGGCACAGGTGGCCATTCACATTGTCTCCCGAGATCCACCGTAAACTATAATTAGCCGACTTGCATTATCGGCTGCTCTCGACCCCTCATTTCCGATTCTCATCAGCATGGACAAGAGATCCGGTGTCGGATGAGAAAGGGATGAGAAGGGGACGAGAAAAAGGACGAAAGGCAAAAAAAGCACGGAATGATTGGCAGTCTCGCCCTGTCGAACCCCTCCCGAGGTGAAAGCTTGCTCTACTCTTATCCCCCCTGATGATTGAGTTATTTATTAAAACATTTATGGTACAGACATCATTTTTCATTGAACACGCTGGAACATTTTTCACATATTATGGGAGGCGGATTAACATAAATTTCGCATTTCGCGTGTGGATTTGATGGCCGCTTGAAGGCCATCCGTCACCGGTTTTTATTCTATGTAATAGAAGGTTCTCTGACATTGATATATTTTAAAAACTGATGACCCCCTAGAGAATGCGTGGTTCAGGTCTCGAAACAAAGGGGACCCCTGATATATTAGCTTGTTGCCGATTCTACGAATATGGTATAATTTGCGCGTGTCAGGGGGGACCGAGACAAATGAGCCTTGCAAGAATGTGGACACGGGATTGATGGCTGATGAGAACGGTTTTATTTTCCACTCCTCTTCATACAAAGATACTTTACAGTGGAAGCTCCCAATATTTTATCTTAAATAACGGGAACAAAAAAAAAAACAGAAGGGACACAATAATTAAATCAACGTTGACCCTAATAATAAGCGTTTCCACATTTTTCGCCCCATGTGAAATGTAAGGCCGAGACGATGAGCCCCTTTTCCCCCACGATCAGGTAACAAACGTGTTTTTCATTTTATTCCGATGGGAGAAATGACTAACACCCATGCAAGTCGGTACAGGATATGTCAGGTGGGATCGCACGTCACCACGGATCAAAATATAATATTGATATGCTGTTCTCAAGAGCCAACGCGCTCCTACGAGCAACAACTACGGCGGACATGGTGAGAAACGACACGGAAGGGAGAAAAAAAAAAAGTAGATAAAACAAAAAAGAAAAACTTTGGTTTCAACAAGACAGCGTGAAAAATGGACTGAATATGCTTCGTTCAGATTTACTGCAAGTCTCCTTCTTAAATCATGAGCTGACAACCTATTATTAGAGCTAGCCAGTTCCCAGCCTGTGTCAAAGTGTCCCTAATTCATCACCACGTCCCATATTTTATCATCGGCGGATTACGAGCTGGGGGGAGAAAAGAGAAAGGGCGAGAGGCGCCAGGTAGAGAAACGAAGGGATTCAAACGTATTTACTCGACAGCTGTTTGGCCATTTCGGAGTATTTGAGGAATTTCGCATGGGGGCTCTCGTCGAGACCTGTCGGGGATTTGCTGCCTTTGGTTGATTGTTGCGCCTTGATGCTCAACGCGTCGGGGATGGAGCCGTCCTTGACGAAGTGCATCTTGGATAAGTGATGACGATATGCACCTTTGGAGATGAACGGGGTATCACAGAACGCGCACTTCATGATGGAATCGTTGTTGACGACGGCTTCGTTGCAGGCCCAGCTGAAGGCGAGGATGGCGCCGGGGAGGCCGGCCGCCCCGCTGTTGGCCACCGCGTTCCCGCCGCTCGCGGCCGGCTTGCTCATGTGGGTCTCGGTCTTGTCGCAGAGTTTCTGCAGGGCCGCCAGCGGGTGCGCGGATTCCGAGTGCGTGGCCGTTCCCGATGGCATGGGGCTCGCCGAGCTCCTTCCGTCGCTCGAGCACTCGTTCCCTCTCGCGTGATCGTTGTCACTCCTGTGACTAGCTGGGCTACTCGCTGAGATCGAAATGTCTTTTGCATCATCACCGGATGTCGCCATGTCCTCGGGCTCTGGCAACGGGGAAGAGTCTTTGGCACCACCACTGTCTTCACATCTCTTTGGTTTCTCCGAAGTACTGCTGGATTCGCTGGGAGTCCTTTCCCTGGAACTCGACTCACTCAGGACACCCGAACTGTCTATGAGGGGCTTGCTGTAGTCCACGTTCTCGTCGATGCCGAGCCTCCTGAGGATGTTGGCGCCGAGCGGCGTCCCACTGCTCGACTTCTTCGTGTTCGCGTCGAAGCTCTTCTCGATCAGCTTCTCGATGGCGTTCAGCACGGATGGGTTCCGGGAGTGCTTCTCTTTGGTCGCTTCCGTCTCGCAGCTGCTCTCTTTTTCTGGGCTTCCCATCGCTTCCTCTTTCTCGAGGTCCTTATCGGACTTGGGCGTCCCGTTGCTCCCGCCTCTCACTTCGTCTGAATTCGAGCTCAAGAGAGCCGATTTGAGAAGTCGTTTCTGTTCCCCTTCGCAGGTTCTGATGTGCCCCATGAAATCGATTGCTTCTACCTTCAAGCCGCATTTTTCACAGGTAATTTTATTGCCGGGTTGAGTAATGAGAGGCGAAGGCGAATGGCCATGGCCGCCGCCGCCGCGGAAATCGCTCTGAGCTCTCTCGAGTTCCAGCAGCTTTCGAACCGGGAGGGACTTCTTGCGCTTCTCTCGGGCTTGCCTTCTCTTGGACCCAGATTCCGAGATGGACCGCATGATATGCTCTTTGTAGTGAGCATTCTTCACCATGTGATTCGAGAGTTCCTTCAAGGAAGAGAACCCCTGGTTACAGACTTTGCAAGTCAGCACGGCATTCACATGACTCTGATTCGAAGATTTCTCCTCGGGAGACTTCCAGGAAATGATTTGTTCCTGAGAAATGATGTTGGTGTAATGCTGAGTCTGCTGCATGTGGGTGGTCATGTCTGCCAAGCTTTTGAAGCTCTGACCACACCACATGCACTTGAGGATCTGCCTGGTCTGTTCCGCCCCCTTCCCCAGCCAGACGTCCTGGCCTCGAACCAACTTCCGGGGGAGAGGCATGGTCTCCTTCAGGGACAGGGAAGGACTAGTGGTGGCAGGAGGAGGCGGCTTCGAATGCTCCCCGGCACTGGACGTGGGGCTGCTTCCGGGC